CACACACACAAATACAAACCTAATAGATCACTACAATACATCAACATACTATAAATAAGGATACATAGCCAATAATCCAAGGAATACATAACTGTATATACTCAGAGGTGAGATAGACACCCAGACAGGTGATCCTACTTTAAAGCCACAACCAAACAAGGAACAGGCAAGAAAGCCTAGATCAAGAGTCCTCAGTCTATCCTACGGGACTACATATAGTCCCTATAACATCCCTCTACTAAAAGATAACTAAAACTAGGGGGCCACATTGCTGCCTTCGACCCACGGAACAATGAGGCAAAACTCACCTGAATCGAAGAACTCTTAAACACTGCGATATGATCCCTTTTCTGCACTGCTTGCACCTGCAAATCCACTAACACCAGAACTAGGTAGAATCTTAATTAATAGCCCAAAATCCTCAAGTTTGACCTAAAGTCAAACTTAGTCAAATAGTCAACGATTAACGAAACTCAAAGTCCAAGGATGGCTGGGTACACCCAGCATGCTCCATGTACGCCCAGCGTACGCGATTTGAGCCCCGTACACCAAGCGTACTCCCAGGTACGCCTAACATACGCTGGCTGATTCCAACATTCCATTAAGCACTTTATCCCTTAAGACCTTTTGTCCAGAGCTCAGTTCTAGGTTCGAATTAACACCCTAAATCATAAAGTTTACAAACTTATGATTTTCCATGGGTAGGAAGGGTCCAAATCCAAAACCCTAACTTATCATAAGATTCTAAGCTTCATAACACATGCATGAATGAAAGAACAAGACCAAGATCACATTTTTATGACTTAACACCCTCATATACACCTGGAAATGCACCTCAAAAGATCTGGTACAACCCACACTCAAACGGACCAATTTGTGGGACAAAAATGGATATAACTTTAACACCTTAAACTAGATCTAAGTAAACATTCACAAAGCTTCTAACTTTATACCTTTTGGAGATGAATGAGGGAGGAGAACTTCTAGATCCAAAGTTGCTTCAAGCTTCCAAGCTCTATCACCACCTTCTTCTTTCTTCAAAGGTACCATAAACGCACTCTTTGGCTTACAAGGCTCAAATTAAGGTTAGGGTTTCAAGGAAGGATGTTGGGAAAGGAAAGGGTTTGGGAAAGTTAAGGACCTTAAATAGGGCTCAAAACTCCGTAATTAGGGTTTAGGTTCTAGTCGCGTACGCCCAACGTACCAAATAGTACGCCTAGCATATGCTATTGAATGCGTGTCTTCGATATGCTGGTACGCCCAACGTACTATCCTTCTTCCGAAAAGCAACACACTTTCAAACTACTACAACTTCTTCGTTTCAACTCCGATTTTGGCGTTCTTTATATGCACAAAAAGGTATTGAAGAGCCCTAAAATATTATCTAGATATCTTGGACTAAAAACTTCTCAAACAAAAAATCCATATTTCATGCAAGAACCCGACCTATGAATTTTCCTTTTCTACCCTTCGACCCAATACATAGTTCAAGGGTTAAATCTCTTAACCATCACTACCTCCTTCCAAATGGTCTAAACTTTACCTTCGTAAGGCCCAAAGCCTTTACACAATCAAATTCCGACCTACAACCCTGAAATAAGAAATGAAAGGAAATAGGATGTTACAATTTACAAATGTCATTAGATAGTGCACATCATAACCTAGCCAAACTTTCTTTGAAATCATACTCTCGGTAAGCTTTTGTAGTCTCCCAAAACAAAATTTTGATTCTTTCTTGTTTCCTGATCTTTGTTTGCATATTCATCAACAAATGGCGACAATAGAGTCCATGATATGCGTCCGAGAACACAACTTGAATGATTATTTCAATAGAATTGGCTCTATCAGATATGATAGCCAAAGAGTTCATGTACCAAATACATTCTTTGAGTCTTAATAGAAACCATATCCATGAGTTCCCACTTTCTGTTTTTCCAACACCAAATTATATTTGAAGGATTTGGTTTTTATCGTCTACTGCTAGGAACATTGTGCTCGTGTATTTCCCTTTAAGATGTGTCCCGCTAATGATAATAATAGGACGCAAACTTGTTTGAAAAGCTCGAACCTACACAATAATTTAATATATTAGTCAATAAATTGAATACACGTGTAACAAGAATTCAAATAACTTATTATATAAGAAATATTACTGCACAACCGATAGCCACGAAGAAGTATTCAAATTTGTTGTCATAACTTGTCTTTATATGTGTAACGGTCTGTGAATTATTCCTCTCCAAGTTGTAAAAATATAAAGGAAGTCTTTCAAAGCTTTCTTCAGGGGTCCATCTCAACAGATTTAGAGCATACATTTTAGCACTTCATGCTTGCCAGTATAAAATATGTACACTAAGGCAGTTATTTAAAGTTCATTGGATTTGTTTTCCCTAATAACATATTACATGTACTATCAACTAGTATGCCCTTCAAGAAGTAACCCGATACTTTTTTGTTGTCTTGACGATGATGGGGGAAGGAGCTATGTGTTTGAGCAAGTGTGGTTATCTGATAGTTTAACCACTTGAAATGAATCGATATCTTTATCTTTTGTAGCCCGCAACCGCAATTTACAATTTTTCACAAAGCAAACAACTTCATACCTGTCTTTTGTAGATTTACTCACTCTAAGCCCTCAATAACACATTTGAATCTTAATTTAAGTTTAAGTTCTTCTTTGCTTTTAAAGAGTTGATACAACTTCACATAAGAAGAATAATTGTGGGATACAAGACCTTTATGCTTTTGTTGAGCTAATTCAAACAATGGTAAAGGTTTAGACATCACCTAATTCTTGGTTTGTGTTTTTAAAGAATAAAAAGAAAACAATAAGGATACTTTTCCTCTTGGGCTTTTAGTGGTTTTATGGGCTCAATTTCTTCCTCTTCAGATTCATTGTCATCCCCAAAAAAAGCAGTGAAACTCTGGAAATGTTCAACTCGTGTGGAATTATATTGTCATCATCAACCAACAACATTAGTTTTGCTTGGTCAAATACAGATTCATCAACATCAAATGACGACGGAGCAACATCAGCTGCAGTCTTACCTTTATACATATAATCATCCCCTTTTACAAGCTTATTGTAAGAATGAACATGATTAGTTGTCATAGGTAATAAATTACCAATTTGGTTACTTCCAGCACCGGAAGACCCATTGCCACAAGAATCATTATCCATGGGAAACCGATGAATACCATTTTCCATAACACTATTAACAACAAACAATTGTACCCTATTAGGAGACATACTACTAACAAAACTAAAAAAAATATCTGACATCACTATCGTCAAGAATCTGCATAACTATATTTGATCAAGAACATTAAAAAGGTAAACATATTTAATTAGTGTGTATCATGGACTTAGAAGTAGCCAATGTAATTAACCCACCAAAGTTGATATCACTGCTTATATTTACACCAAAACATGTGTAGTTTAGAACAATATACTACATAAATCCCTCGATATCCTGCCATTGCCATTCACTAGAAACTGAGACTAGAAAAAAAAATCTTTATACATATTCATTTTTGGAGTATATGAAAACTATCAAAATAGGGTTTCAATAAGGGAGAAATAAAGACAACAAAATGTACTGCTTGTGTAAGAACAAACAACATACATATACCCTAATTTTACCTCTTCGGAACACTATTATTGAATCCACCGTACATTTCAAAGTACTATCCAAAATACACTTTTCCAGTCCAGTATGTCAGATTTCAGACCTGATACATACCAACTATCAACTCTGAAATAAACATAATCATTTTGAAATACTATATTCTAGAGTAAATGGTCATTATATAAAAAATATAAAAAATTGATTATTATTATCAAATTATTCATTTATTACTCAATTTCCCAGTAAAACTAAAAAACCGAATATGTGAATAATACTTAATATTACAATAATCAGACAAAAAAAAACACATCAACAACCCAGCTATATATGAAAAACCCAAATTATTCATTACATTTAACACCTCCCCTGCCATAGTACCATACTACCATTCCCTTCCGTCAAAGCTATCAACCCATTTCACAGTCACATTCTGGACTGCCTGTCATTGTGAAATCATGACCAACAAATCCCCAATCTTCCCCATTCATGAGCCTCAACACTTCAGTGACTATGGCTTCGACCCTCAAATCGACTACTTTCAGGTTCCCCTTTCTCTTCATTACTTTCAACAATGGCACTCAAATCCTTGCTTAACAGTCTGTGTTCCAATTCGCAGGTGTTGGAAGAAGCCAGGAAGCATAAACGCGAAACCTACTCGTCCAGATCCGCCATTGACAATGTGCATTTCAAGCTTCAGAAACCCATCTCCAAAGACGACACCAGCAAGAAGATAAAAAAGACCCGTAAACGCTGGTGGTGGAAGAACGCCCTCCACTTCTTCAAACGCAAACGTACTTCCTCCTCCGACTCATCTTACAACAATCTCCACTGCGTCTACAGCGGCGGCGGCGGCGGAGGAGGAGGAGGAGTGCGTGCGGTGTCTGGACCGGTGTATTTGACGGATAGCAGAAACGGGTCTGCCACTCTTTACCACCGTACCTCCACCAGCCGGCCGTCGTCCGGACCACTCGCATCTACACGAAAAGGTGATATCGATATACCCTACATCAGTCTCACTGAACTCAACATGGATCAGACCCACAAGATCTCCGGCTCCGCCATGCCCATTTACTTGGTCACTTAACGACTTAAATTATTCAAGTATTCAATTGCATTTACTTTTTTTTACGCATTAAAAGAAATGATGAAAGGTAGTAAAGATTAGTTGGGAAAAATGTGTTCCTTTCTGGGTTCATTTATCTCTTTTGCAGAGATTCGCTTTACTGTTAATCGAACCCACGATTTGACCAATTCGTTTTTGACCAGTTTGTTTGGATAATTTCTTGGAAGAAGTGTGATGAATTGTATCCGTTGGTTTAAGTGATTACTATTTGTCCATACATGAATGAATGTTTAGTATCAGTGTGACTTCGATGGAATTTGGCAGAAAAATGGTGTGGACATTTCTTGATTTCTTCGTACCCTTACAAGAAACATGTTCGAAAGGAAAATTGAGGGGCCATTTAATTTTAGAGGAAGAGTAGGCATATGGTAGGGCTAATGTTCATCTTTTATTTCAAAACAATATCCACTTCTTCCTTTATTTTATTTTCCTTTTAACATATGTCACCCTATTAAATCTCCTAATTAATACATATTTTATTCTCTTTTTGTCACCTTATTATATCTTCTAATTAATACATGCCACTTGTCAACCTATTCATTCTCCATTTCAAATTTCAAAATTTAAATTTCTCACTTTAATTACATTAAAATAATAACATTAGAATAAAAATTAAAATAAAATTAATACAAATTATAAAATGATATAATTTCACATATTTATTTAAATAAATGATTTTAATTTTATATAACTAAAAAAATCTCTTAATTAATAATTTATTTAAAATAACTGATTAATAATTTTGAGTTTTATTATAAAAGTTTAATTAATTTTGTAACCGTGGTTCAACGAGTTATAAACTAGTATATTAATATTATTATCACTATGCAATTTAAAAGAAATGGAAAATAACATAAAAACCCTTAAATTTGTGTTAACCAATAAAAAAGCTAAAAAAGTAAAATCACCGAGTTCGTATAAAAATTATGGGATAAAACTGGAAAAAAAACATATTTAAAGTAATTTTTTTTCAAACTTAAAAGTTTTCATGTGAGTTTCACTTTAAGGAAACTTGAAAACTAAAGAAACACGTAAAAAAGATAAAATAGAAAGTTTAATGAAAATTAAGATAAAACTAATGAAATGATGTAAACTTAAGGTGACGTTTGGTTTGCAAAATGTTTTTGAAGGAATTGAAATCTGCTAAGGAAATGGAATCTGTCAGGAATTGCAATCCAATTCCATATTCTGTTTGGTTGTTTGTGTTAAGAGATGAGCACATGATGAGCACATCTTATATTTTATCAATCCTCTCACGCCACATATGTATTGTATCTAGTCAATTCTTGTTGTTAGTCCTCCTTATTTATCTCACAATTAGCTGTAGCATCGATATATATACACCTTTGTATATCCTCCTGTAACTTACTTTTGATATATACAAGATACTCTTTCCATATCCTCTTCTTTACTTATATGGTATCAGAGCTTGACTCGGCACATACCACACCAGAAAACTCACCTCCTCCCTCTCCAAAACACATGGGAATCAATGATGACACCTCTTCTTCTCTTATCGTCAATACCACACTCAAAGACATCACTATTGTTAATTTTCCCAGCAACCCTAAAACTCACATCCACCAATTATCTTGGATGGAAGACTCAGATCGAAGCTCTACTACATGGCCTAGATCTATATCAATTTATCGACGGCTCACACCCTGCACCTGCACCAACAACTGCCGCTGATGGAACAAAAACCCCCTACACAGACTATCAGAAGTGCTTCAGGCAAGATCGACTTCTTTTCGGTGCCCTAGTCGAAACTCTTTCTCCTGAAATCGTACCACTGGTAACAAATGCATCTTCTTCCCGCGAAGCCTGGCAAACCCTAGCCAGTACGTATGTCTCTCCATCAAGAGGACATATCAAACAACTCCAACATCGACTAAAACAACTCACCAAAACTTCCAACCAAACCATCACTCAGTATATGCAAAGCGTCAAAACAGTGGTTGATGAACTTGCTATCCTTGGGAAGAAGCTCGATCAGGAGGACATCACGGATGCAGTTGTCAATGGGCTTGATCAAACAACTTACAAGCCCATCCTTGATGCTCTTCATGCAAGAGACTTACCCATATCCTTCATTGAACTACATGAAAAACTAATAAATCATGAATTGTTTATTGCTCAACAGGTTTCAAATGTTGATATCCATCAACCTGCTACTGTTTTCTATTCAAACCATCAGACCACTAAGAAAACATGGCCTCCTCGACAACCAACCACCACTCCTGGCTTGCTTCCTACACCCTCAAAACAACCTAATCAAGCCTCCTCAACCACTGGACATCGTCCATTCTTGGGTAAATGCCAATGGTGCCATAATAAGGGTCATTCTCTTAGTAATTGTTTCACTTTTAAGAAGGTTTTTCCAGCAGAATCTGTACCACCCCCTAACCGAAACCTGCAGGTTAAAAACGCACAGGCACACATGATGATTCCACATCAATCATCACCCTCCAACACTACCAACTGGCTTTTTGACAGTGGTGCCAGTTTTCATGCCACCAATGACCTTAACAACTTGTCAATCCATGCACCATATGATGGAACAGAGGAATTAGTTATCGGTGATGGTTCGTGTCTACAAATCTCTCATATTGGCTCAGTTATTATCCAAACACCACACACAGAACTTATACTCAAACATGTCCTATATGTTCCTACTCTTTCTCAAAATATCATATCTATTTCTCGTTTATGTGCTGATAACAAATTTTTAATAGAATTCTATTCCTTTGTTTTTGTCATAAAGGATCTGTCATCCAAGATTCCACTCTTCAAGGGAACCGCAGTCAAGGGAATGTATAAACTCAAATCTGCTATAAAGCCTCAAATCTTTGCCATGAATCGCATCACTCCAACCACATGGCATCATCGATTGGGGCATCCTAAAAATAAAGTTTTTAAGCAATTGTCATCTGTTCTTTCTTTCAATTCCAGTTGTTCTGGTCATTGTAACTCATGTTCTATTAATAAGAGTCACAAATTACCTTTCATGAAACATCTCTTACCTCACATGCTCCACTAGATCTTATTTTCTCAGATGTCTGGTGCTCTCCAGTTCAATCCTATGATCATTATAAGTATTACATCATTTTTGTTGACCATTTCAGCAAATATACATGGTTGTATCCCATGAAAAAGAAATCAGATTCGCTATCTATCTTCACTCGTTTCCAATCACTTGTTGAAAATTTCTTCAACAAAAAGACCAAACAGTTTTTCTCAGAAAATGGTGGTGAATTTTTAAAACTTCAATCCCACCTTTCTTCCTCAGGAATTACTCACCTCACTTCACCGCCTCATACTCCAGAACACAGCGGATATGCCGAAAGACGACATAGGCATATTGTAGAAACAGGACTTGCATTGCTTTCTCATGCAAACATCCCAAATACCTTCTGGCCATTCGCCTTCACCACAACAGTCTATTTAATTAATCAGCTGCCCACCTCAACCCTCCACAACTTATGCCCTTTTCGTTGCCTCTTTCAAAAGGATCCCAACTATTCCAAACTAAAAAGTTTTGGTTGTTTATGCTATCCATGGTTAAGACCTTACTCACCACACAAATTACATCCAAGATCCACCCCTTGTATTTTCGTGGGATATTCCCCCACCCAAAGTGCCTACTATGCCTTTGACCCGATCTCTTCCAAATTATACACCTCCAGACACGTTGTCTTTGTAGAAACAGAATTTCCATATGCTAAACTCACCTCTACTATCACCTCTTCCTCTCTAACAAATTTGGATGATTGGCTACCACTTACCTTACCGGTTCTCACCTCATCTTCCTCAAGTACTGCTACCACCACTGAACCAAATACACCCACATCTCCTCAGTCCTATGATTCCGTAGCCTCCATCTCAGACGACTCTCCCTCACCACCTCCTGCCAATAACCCAACCAAACCAAACACAAGAAATAATCCTAAACCAAACCCACGATATTTCAATTCAGATTTCCTCTTATACACTGCATCTCCCTCTTACCCCACTGAACCCACAACAATAACACAAGCACTCAAACACCCCTCTTGGAGAACCGCTATGCAGGAAGAGTTTGATGCTCTTCAACGCAACCAAACCTGGTCACTAGTTCCATCTTCAGAAGCGCCAAACTTAATTGGTTGCAAATGGGTCTATAGAACAAAATACAAGTCAGATGGTTCTATAGACATACTCAAAGCCCGCCTTGTTGCCAAGGGCTTCAACCAAAGTCCAGGCATTGATTACAAAGAAACCTTCAGTAGTCCTCACTCTAGCCACTTCTCACAACTGGCCTCTCAGACAACTAGATATCAACAATGCTTTTCGACAAGGAAATCTTCATGAAAATGTTTACATGACTCAACCACCTGGATTTGCTAATCCATCTTTCCAAACCATGTTTGCAAATTAAATAAAGCAATTTATGGCCTCCGACAGGCTTCGCGAGCTTGGTATGACGAACTTAAATCCTATCTACTTACTCTTGGGTTCAAACCAACTATCTCTGATCCCTCCCTTTTTATTCTTTAAACACCTACCATTTATATCCTTGTTCTAGTCTATGTTGATGACATTATAGTCATTGGTCCCTCTCCCTCTCATCTATCTCAATTCATTAAACACCTTGCAGCAAAATTCCCCCTAAAAGATCTTGGATCTCTCTCTTATTTCCTAGGAGTCGATGTCATTCCACACAACAATGGTATCCTTCTATCCTAACGCAAGTATATCTTAGATATCATAGACCGAGCAAATATGAGAGATTGTAAACCAACACCAACTCCGATAATTACATCACCTCCTCTTACACTTCGTGGTGGCACTCCTCATTCATCACCCAAAGATTATCGGACACTGGTTGGTGCTTTGCAATACTTGTCTTTAACAAGACCGGATATCTCCTTTACTGCTAATCGGCTGTCTCAATTCATGCATGCACCAACCTCACTCCATTGGACAGCTCTAAAACACTTACTCCGGTACCTTCATGGTACTCTACATCATGGTATATTTTTCAATTGCAGGTCTCCAACCACATTACATGCTTTTAATGATGCAGACTGGGCCGGAGACAAAGACAATTACCGAAGTACCAATGTATACATAGTTTATATTGGATCTAATCCTATTTCCTGGAGCTCAAAAAGACAAAGTACACTTGCAAGGAGTTCAACTGAGGCTGAGTTCAGGGCTGTTGCCTCTGCCACTACCGAAGTGCAATGGATCAGTTCACTTTTGAGTGAACTTGGTTTCACCTCTGCAACCACTCCAACCATTTACTGTGACAACTTAAGTGCAACTTCTTACTCAGCAAATCCGGTATTTCACTCACGTATGAAACATCTAGCTTTAGATTTTCATTTTGTCCGAGAAAAGATTCACCAAGGAACCCTGCGAGTTCAGCACATTTCTGGAGATGACCAGTTAGCAGATGCTCTAACCAAAGCACTACCACGACCACGTCTCCATTACTTATTATCCAAGATTGGACTTCTTTCTGCATCGTCCATCTTGAGGGGGCATGTTAAGAGATGAGCACGTGATGAGCACATCTTATATTTTATCTAGAATCCTCTCACGCCACATATGTATTGTATCTAGTCAATTCTTGTTGTTAGTCCTCCTTATTTATCTCACAATTAGGTGTAGCATCGATATATATACACCTTTGTATATCCTCCTGTAACTTACTTTTGATATATACAAGATACTCTTTCCATATCCTCTGCTTTACTTATAGTTTGGTTGGCAGGAATGCAATTTGAATCCAATTTCATATTATGTTTGGCTGGCAGAAAATGGAACTGAAATAATATAAAATGACAAAATTGACATTTTTTTGCATATTTTTACTTTGTTTTATAACTTATATGCAAAAATATATTATATAAATTATAAAATTAGTAAATGATGGTGATGGTGGCAGTGATGTCGACAGTGACAATAGTGGTGATGATGGCGACATAGGTGATGGTGGGTAGTGGCGGTAGTAATTGTGATGGTGGCGGTCAGTGGTGGAGGTGGAAATGGTTGTATTAACGGTGGTGGTGGTGGTGGCGGAGGTGATGGCGGTGATGGTATGGTCGCGGTGGTGAGTGGTGGTGGAGGTGGAAGGTAGTGTGGTGGTATAGGTGGTGACGGTGGTGGTGGTGGGTGGTTGTGGCGGTGGTGGTGGTGGTAGAGGTGGTGTGTAGCGGGTGAAAGCTTGAACCAAACAAAGGAAAATGATGGAATTAGATTTCAATTTCTTCTAATTCCAATGGATTCCAGCGAACCAAACGACACGTAAGAGTTTTTATGCCATTTTTCTTGTTAAAATTAGGACAAGTTAGACACTATATGAAAAATGCTGCTTCATTTCATTTTTGATACTGATATATATGCAATTTTTTTTATTATTCTATAAATAAAGAAAACATGGACCCTTAAAGAAGAATCCGTTGGGACACCAAGCCTTGGATAAACCTTTTGAAAGATATGGTTAACGGGAATCGTCAACTAACTGAATGCTTTTGGAGTCGGATTTTGAGAGTTTTTCACAACAAATTAGGGGTAGGGGTGTTTAACAATCAAAATGTCCATCAATTGAACTCAAAGTAGATGCATGCGGGTATTAATAAGTTCCAAGTTATTTACCAATCCTCCAAGCGGTCAATCAAAAGCAACAAATATATTTCAGGCGAGACATATTGAATACATATACATTTACATGAAAGTCTTAAACCACATGTCGTCATGGGGAGTTGAATTTGATGCAAGAAAGATGTAGAGATGAGTATATGCATATATGCGTAGTGTCGCATGATCATTTGTAAAGATCAGTGTTGGTTGCGGTCCGAGCATGCAAGAGTGAAGTTGGGAAAAAATATGGTTGGGAATGAATTATTATTTTTTATGTAATTTTTAGTTAGAGGTGTTTATTTATTTATTTATTTATTTTTAATTTTTCTAGCGTAGTAGTTTTTCTTTATTAATGAATGTTTCTATGTAATAGTTTTTGTATTTTTAATTAGCTCTTATTGATTTTAATTATTTTGGTTTAGGATTAAGGGAAGTTAGGAAAAGACGGTAAAACAATTATATATATATATATATATATATATATATATATATATATATATATATATATATATATATA